ACCTGGAAACTGCCCCATGGAGAGATATTGCTGACTCGGGCACTAAGTTGGCTGAGCTTATAAGCCTGCGCGCGCGCGCGTGTGTGTGTGTGTGTGTGTGTGTGTGTGTGTAGGTGCACACAGTCACATATGAGTGCATATGTCAGAAGCACAGTATGGAATTTGATAGAAGTGGATTTGGAAGAACCTAAGTGGTCTGCATTTAGAAGTAAAAGGTCAGGAACCACCAGAAGATGCGCCTACTACAAGCTCCAACCACTAGGGGGAGGGCTAGGGAACAGCATCTGCACTCTACCTCCTGCCCTAGCCTGTGCCTCTAAAGAGGACCTGGAGTTTCAGGTTGAGTTCTTTAAGGTCATACCCCAACATCCCGTGTGTATATCACAAACTAGGCTTCTATTCTTCGAAATGAATTTCAAACCACTTGAATGTTTTTAAAATAAAACAAAATACACATATATACATTTTACAAATAATGACACACAAACCTGAGTTCTTTAGGTGGGTGGAGGAGCATTCACTTGCTCTGACTTGGCTTCCATAGATAGGCTCCTGGTCAGGTCAGAGATGCAGTTACTCTCTTTCCTGGTGACTTTCCCTGTAGCAAGCACAACCATGTGTCCGCCATGGTCAGACTCCAGAGGGCCACAGAACCCTCGGGAATTAGATGTTTGCTTGTGGGTTTCTATGGGAAGAGCATCACTAACGCTCACCGATCCTCAAGGAAACCCTTGACCACCCCTCCCCCCACAGGAAGAACCGCTGGCGTCCTGATACAGTTTCTAAGAAGGAGGGAGCAGAGAGTCAATCTGCAGTGAGGAGTGACTGTGTCATGCAGTGTCCTTGCGGGCACTCCTAGGCACATCCGTGTGGTACACACCCCTCCATCCCACATGAATTCACACCTGCACACACATCCATGTTCCCAGAGCCAGGTCCTGTCCTTCTGCCCTGTCCTCCTGGGTGCACACTTTGGTGCAGCCACTGGCTCTGCTCCCTGGGCACGGGCTTCACTTAGTGCCCAGTGTGTATAGCATGCGTGTGAGAAGAAGCACGAAACCCTGAGCTGGGCAGGTCTCAGCCCTGCCCCAACCCTCCTCTAATCTCCAGCACAGGAGTGTGGGCAGGGTCGTCCATAGCTTTTGGTCTCCTTGTGGGTGGCACTACCTGTGCCCTGCATGACTGAGTGGGCAGTAAAAGGACAGAGTGAGGGATCAGGCCTCCAGCAGCTCCTCCTCTGACCTCCACAGGGAGCCCGCTGCCTCCCGACACTTGAGCGTGACACTTGGAAGGTTTATGGGGCGCAACGTTTGTCTGAGGGGACAGGAGCCAGGCACTCCAGCTCTCCTGCTGTCTGGTGACTGGGGGCAAGCACTCTACTAGCCTTCAGTTCTTTCTTCTTTCTTTGACCTTTCTTCTCCTTCTTCTCTTCTGTTTTTTCTCCTCCTCCTTCTTCTTCTACTCCTTCTATTCCTCCTCCTCCTCTTCCTCCTCCTTCTTGTTCTGTAATGCTGAAGACTGAACAGAGGTCTTTGCACTGAGCTATGCCCCCCAGTCCCTTTTATTTTTTCTGTTTGCATCCAGATTCTTCTAGGTTGCCCTGGGTGCTCTTGAATTCTCCTGCCTCAGCCCTCCTAGAACGCTGGGAGTATAGACAAGTGCTTACTGTTCAGTCTTGATGACAGAGTCCTTGATCTGTGCATCAGCTGAGGGGTGAAGAAAAATAATAATATGAAGAAATAGTAAGCCTTGGGGGGCTCTGCCTCAGCCAAGTGAGGACCTGTCAGGGGGTGGAGGTGGCCTCCAAGGAGGGTACAGTGGGAGGGCCCACAGTCGCCTGGGGTGGGGAGGTGGTATGATGCTTGCTGTGCTTCCCCTTAGAGCCCCGTGGTGAGCTCCCGGCGCTCCTCTGAGAGAGGAAAGCTGTGTCCAGGAAGAAAATGGTTCAGGATGGCACAGGAGGCTTCCTGGGGCCGTGGGGAAGGGATGAAGTTAGTCTTTGAGCGGGCATGATGACTGCTTCCTTTCGGTGACCTTCTCGCAATGTCTGGAGCCAAGTGTCAAACCTCACTTATTTGTTTCTCAAAAAGTCAACAATACTGAGTTCAATCCCTGGTTCCGCAAAAAAAAAAAAAAAAAAA